ATTCGATATGTAATGTTATTAACTTCACTAAAAATTACGCTAAAAATATATTCTGGTAACTCAAAACTTATTTTTACAAATTAAGAGGAAAAAATATTGGATAGAAAGAAGGTTTTTTTTTTCAATCGATTTTATCGTCTCAATTCATGAAAATTATACTTAAATAAAAAGAATATGAGATTTTGAATAAAACTATATAGAATTTCTTTACGTAAGCAAGTTTTATCTTCATATAAAATTACATATTTTTACTATATGTGAGAATATGAGTTTTGAATTGATATTAATTTTTTTTCCACGTATATGAAAAAAATTCTATTTAATTTATTGAGTTGTTAGATAAATTTACATAGATTTTGCAAAGATTTCAAGTATCATCCATATTTTTATAGTTGAATATAGCTTTATTCAATAAAATATTAACTTTTTTTTCGATGGCAGGTCATCAAAAAAAAAACGAAAAAGACAAAGTTGTGCCTGACTATGGGAATACCAGTTAGAATTTTTCAAAAAATTCGTACAAACTTATCGAATAACTCAATACCTGATAATAAAGAAACCAAACGCATTTTGATTGGACGAGAAACAAAATTTTCGATTATAAGGATCGAATTGGTTCATAAGATCTGGAAATTCCTTCGAACAAAACGCGTTTGGTTCGTTCATTGTCATTGTCAAATTCAATTAAACTTTTCTTCCATGTAAACTCCCTTATTGGATCATCTGCTGCGTTCGAATTGCATCCAGAAAAATGTTCAAAGCATAAGAAGCTACACGTACCTACCACACGGAAATTGCCCTCGCGATTCGAGCAAACAGATCGCGGGGGAAAAATGAAAGAGGAAAAAGAAACGCAACACGCAAATTTCGCGACTATGGCAACTCGACTCTTCCTGTTGCGTCTCATATTCGAGGCCCGGTAGTGCGTATGGATTCGCGCGAAAGCCGCGTGAGGCGTAACGCATAGAGGAACCGACCGATTCGCGCGGGCCTAAAACAAAAGGACGCAACGTCGCTGCGTTCTGCTGCCCAGGTAGATCGGAAAATCACGGTGACGCCAAAATAATAAGAAAATGACTGCATACAGAAAAATACATACTCTATTCAATATTACTTATTTCAAATATTTCATAAATTCCATATATCAACAAAAATATAAATTTATCATAAATATTTAATTTCCTGGGAAAAGATTTTCAATACATAATTAAATAATAATTATATGTAATTATATATACGGCGTCATCTATATATAAAATATGTCTATGTATAAAAATATATAATTATATATTTTAAATGGCGATATAGAGAGTTATATATAATTATATATAAATATATATATTAATATATAATTATTTATAATTACAAATTTTTTTATATAGACATATTTTATACATGTAATCATGTATGAGAAATTTTTCCCCGGGTTATTCGAAATATATTCTGAAATATATTCCTAATACTCCAATCAGGAATATTAAATTAAAATAAACTTCAGTTTTTCTTATCAAAATGCTTATCCAAGTTAACCGAATTTAATTTGGATAAGCATTTTGATGAGCCTTTTTTTCGGCAAAATTCATATTCTTGAAAAAAAAATAAATTCTCTTTTTGAATACGTGATAATGAGCTTTTCTAAAACTTGTAATGAGTATGTTTTAAGACTATTAACAAGAACAAATATTCTTAATTGAAGATAAATATTATTTAGAAGCAGGAAAGTAAATTGAACAATCGCTTTTCTTAGCAGTAGAATAATATTTTTCTTTGTATACGATAATTCACTTTTCGATTATAATTCGATTACTTTCTCGTCATTTTAATGTCATTTTGATGTTGCTGTGATTTTCTGTTCCACCTGGGTACTTGCTGCATAGCTATACACGCGCAATCAGTCCGTACGCACTTCAACACGCGGATAACACACGCGTCCACTTCTGGCTAGCTGTTCGCCGTAGTATGGCACGAAAAGACCGTGTTTGACAAACAATCGCGCAGCCAATTGCGATCGATCGTCGACTCTTGAACTGGCCCTTGATCTAGCGGTATCCAGCCGTAACCCCCGCCTATTCCGGCAGCACGATCGCGCGCCGTTTTTTTTAAAACACAGTGTGATAAGCGACCTATTAGATAAAACACGATGTGGTACATTTTACGTAACATTGGTACGTTGTTGTAAATAATAAATAGGTTGTACGTTGTACATGAGAGGTCTCTTCCTTCGTACACTTTATATTCCTTATATCACATAATTTATATCCCGGGAAAAAGTTTTCCATATAATTAGATATGTAATTATATATTATTATATATGGGACACCTGATCTTTTGTGAAACTTGATCCTTAGCCATTATTTCGACAATGAAAAGATTTAATTTTTTTTTTCAAGTTAGCAGTAGTGTTTATTCTTAACTGTAGGAAACATTGAAATGTCATTTTGGCAGTTGAGTGTTGATAACAACAGAGTGAGGATGTGTTTTACTTTTTGCAGCGCCTAATCTTTTTTTGCAAAATGATAAAAAACTTTTCTGCTCAGTTTAATCCATTTCCTCTGTACATAAGCAGTGTTCCATGAATTACCGGACACCCTGTATATGATTATATCTAATTGTATAAAGAAAATTTATTCCCAGGACAACACCCTCGATCTCTCCTTTCGGAACGCAGCAACTTGAACTTCGAACACTGTTATGTCGAATAATCCACAACGCAAGGAACGCGCGTAACTTCGTTCATCTCTCCCGACAACCGATTTGTGACATGTTCACTTTGATCTTGCGGTATCTCACTACAAACACGCGGAAAACTCACTTTCGGCATTCCAGGTGACGAATCTTTTGCGCGATTCTCTGTTGGTAAGCAGAAATCTCGAAAAAAAAAACGTGATGACTTATTGATGCCGCACTGCCCGCCAGCTATTTTGCAACTGATCGTGTGCAACGTATGTATTGTGACGATTGCGATTCTCGAAGTATCGAATGTGGCCAATTTCACTCGACGCACCCGATAATTTCCCGGGGAAAATAATTTCTCTTCTATGATTATATATAGAATACATTCACATATAAAAATATATAATTATATATGATTATATATATATATATATATGGGTCATTCCATGTGAAAGGGGTACGCTCAAAAATTAGATTTGATCGAAACCTATGGCAATCGGTAGTACTATTTTAGAAAACATTTGTCGAATTTTTTCGGATTTTTTCACCCATACCATGAGCTTCTATGGCTGTCATAAAATTCGAATTTTTGCTTCGACTACCAGTTTCTTAATTCTCGTCGT